CAATACTTGCACCGGAACTATTTCAATCTCCCCAGCAAATTGCCCAATCTATGAAAAACATTGGTCAGATTGTGGACAAGATTTATTGCCTGTCTCACAGACTATGATGCGACATCAGTACAATGCTACTCCATTCCCCCCAAGGGGTCATCGAAAGAAGCCCAATAACATAGCCAAAATTACCTTCCGTAGACATGACCTTCCTTTTAACGTTTACATAGGTGGAGAATCCCTCCCTGTCCGTCCATACCAACCTCCTCCACGTCAGTGTCATAATTGTTGCCGTTCTATGGCGGCCCCCATAATGTATTTTATAGGGGCTGTCCCACCTACAAATTTGAGTATGAGGTAGCAACTCTCAGATTCAAACTTGGATTCACACTACGTGAAGCCAGACAGGAAGCACGTCGACGTGGTTTCTCTCTTACTCCTTAATCTAATAATATTGCTCATTCTACCACTTCTCCTAAACCCACCCACCCTCCATCTAACTCCCCCTCTTCTACCTCCTACCTTTCCCAGTCAAACTCTTTTGCCATCCTAAATCCAGACACTCCAATCTCTACTACAGACACTCCAATCTCCACTACAACCCCAACACCTTCCCCTCTCCTTCCTCGCACTACCCGTAACAGCCTGACAAACGTTCCACCCCCTCTTCCCCTACCACACAATCACCTCCACCTTCCTTTGCCCCTACTCTCCTGACACCAGTCTTCTCTTCCCCCCCTCACAAGAAATCCTTTATCCCACAAAACTCCCCAACCAACTCCATGGAACAAACTATTGAAAATATTCAAGACTACTTCATGTAAACTGACACTCATCAACCTTCAAATCCTACAACTCCTGCTCCCTCCACACTCAAAGTGACTGCCGATATCCATCCTCCTCCTAACGATATCCCCCCTACACCCTATCCTCCTATCCCCTCCCAACACAGCCCATCCACCCCCGACTCCATCCCCATCCACATTAACACTCCCACCATCCCCTCTATCCCTTCCACTCCCTCCTGGATGCACACGTGAATCCCTTATATCACAAGTATTCCCTTCTACACCCGTCTAACACACCCCTATCTCAGGTCACAATCCGATCCACCCCTATGTTCCTTATGTAATGTTCCTCTTTCAGTCTCACACATTCTATTATCATGCACACGTTTTGAAGCAGCCTGTAGCTCTGCTTCCCCCCACCTATCCTCCCTTCACCGACCTCCCAACCAATTCTGCTTCGACCTCTTTTCCTCTCAAACGCATAAATATCCATCACGTAATCTAACCCCTTTACATTACCTCACCCGACCTTAACCCATTCACTCACCAATTCCTTTGCCCAGCTTTGACAACTAATCACTAACTTAACCACCCTTTACTAACATTTACTATAGTGCTACATGACCTTAGATGTCTAGCACATTCATTTTGCTTTAACCATTAACCATTAGTTCTATTTTAAAACATATTAATTCGCAACGATACTCTGGTAGATTTTATTTTGCTGGTTACAATAACAAAATTGTACAATCAATATATAAACGAAAGGTTAAAATCAGGAACTAAAACACAGACAGAAATACGGACAAACATACAAATAAAACAATTAAGGACATTAAAAACTAACAATCCTCCAAATGATCTAAACATGGCAATTCATTAGGGTTATCTTCAGAAGGGACTGAGAGATTTGGAAGTGCTGGGGCCGTAACAACACTCACCTGGGGTTCCTCCTTCACAGCATTAAGACCAGACATGGCTGCATTGTTGGATGTTGATGAAATTAAACATTTTTCCTCAAACTCAGGAAGTGGTGGTATCCGAAGGACTGGACAACGGGTGAGGCGGCAACAGCATCCGAAGGGCTGGACACAGGTGAGGCGGCGGCAGCATTCGACGGATAGAGCATAAAACACAATAAAACAAACGGATTACAGAGCATAAAACAATAATATGTAAAACACAATAAAACAAATAGATTACAGAACATATAACACAATAAAACATAAAATACAGTAAGACAAAAATGAAGCACAGAACATAAAACAAAAGTTAAACCAATAATCGTGACCCAGTAACTAAAACCTATTGCAAAAAAATAAAAATAAAAATTGACAAAGCTAAGGAAAACTGGAACTGTCAAACAAACGTACAAAAAACTTCACTCCACGCAGCTGACACCATTATTTGGGTTGTAGTGATTTTTGAAATGTCAAGATCGAATCCATACTAAAAAAAATAAATGCCAGGCCGAAAAAAACAAAGGTAAAAGTCTACATTCATTTTAAAACAAACAAACCGAAATATAAAACGTAAACACAATAAAAACCGCTAAGAACAGACAGTATAAAAATATGAAAAACTAGGAATTAAAACAAAGAATTAAAATGAAAGCTAAGAAAACAAAAGTAAAACAATAATACAACAAAAAAGAAACTGACACAACATAAAATAATATTAAAACGAAACATGAAATAAGGCTGCAAAATAAAATAAAACTAAGACGGTCCAGTAAAATAAATTCAAAGGCTCATATAAACATTGCATTTTCTTAATATATTATTGCCTTTGGTTTCTGTGGCCATATACATAATATGTTCAGATCACTACAACTACCCACGGGCACGGGAGTCCGAAGCTGCCGACAAACATTAATTACGAGGAAGCCTACCCGGCGACAGCATCCGACGGACTGGACACAGGTGAGGCGCCAACAGCATCCTACGGACTGGACACAGGTGAGGCGCCAACAGTATCCTTGCTCTAAATCAAAGCATCATCTACAAAGTCAAAATCGGGCTTGACGACCTCTTCTATGTCAGGTAGGTTGGACACAGGTGAGGCGGCGGCGGTGGCAGAATCCCACGGACTGGACACAGGTGAGGCGGCAAAAGCACCCCACGGACTGGACACAGGTGAGGCGCCAACAGCATCCGAAGGACTGGACACGGGTGAGGCGCCAACAGCATCCCACGGACTGGACATAGGTGAGGCGCCAACAGCATCCGAAGGACTGGACACGGGTGAGGCGCCAACAGCATCCCATGGACTGGACACAGGTGAGGCGCCAACAGCATCCGAAGGACTGGACACAGGTGAGGCGCCAACAGCATCCCACGGACTGGACACAGGTGAGGCGCCAACAGCATCCCACAGGTGAGGGGGCGGCAGTATCCGACGGATAGAACATAAAACACAATAAAACAGAAATAATAAAACAAACGGACTACAGAGCATAAAACACAATAAAACGTAAAACACATTAAAACAAAAATGAATCACACAACATAAAACAAAAGTTGAACCATTAATCGTGACACAGTAACTAAAACCGTTTGCAAAAAAAATTGACAAAGCCAAGGAAAAAAATGCAATCCACGCAGCTGTCACCATTATTTGGTTGTTATTTTTTTAAATTTCAAGATCTGATCCATACTAAATAAAAATAATAATCATAATAAAAAAAAAATAATGGCAGGTTTGTGGTGGGCCGAAAAAAAACAAAGGTAAAAGTCTCCATTCATTTTAAAACAAATAAACCAAAATATAAAACGTAAACACAATTAAAACCACTAAGAACAGACAATATAAAAACTATGAAAAACTAGAAAGTAAAACAAACAACTAAATCGAAAGCTAAAAAACAAAAACAAAAGGAAAACAAGAACACAATAAACAAGAAACTGAGACAACAAAAAATAACATTACAACGAAACATAAAAATGGCTACAAAATAAAACAAAACATAGACAGTCCAGCAAAATAAATTCAAAGGCTCATATAAACATTGCAGTTTCTTTTTACTATATTATTACCTTTGGTTTCTGTGGCCATAAACCTTCACTCTACTTAACTTTCGGTTCGGTGGGTCTTGCAGCTCGAAAAGAAAAGGGCGATCCCAGAGTCCCAGCGTTAACCCTATGGCCTACTCGATTAATCTGCCCGCCACACAAGTGTATTTTATAACGTAAAACACAATAAAACAAAAATGACTCACACAACATAAAACAAAAGTTGAACCATTAATTGTGACACAGTAACTAAAACCTATTGCAAAAAAATAAAAAGAAAAATTGACAAAGTTAAAGAAAAAAGGACTTTGGAACCGTCAAACAAACGTAAAAAAAAAACTTGCAATCCACGCGATCCCAGAGTCCCAGCGTTAACCCTATGGCCTACTCGATTAATCTGCCCACCAGACAAAAGTCGAGAGCGGCCGAAAAAACAAAAAAACATGGCGAACGCCTATCTTTTGCTTCTATTTTTAAATATGTTAATTCGCAACGATACTCTGGTAGAATTTATTTTGCTGGCTACAACGACAAAATAACAAAAGTGTACAATCAATATAAAAATGAGAATAAAAGTTAAAAATACGATTAACGAAAGGTTAAAATCATGAACTAAAACACAAACAGAAATACGGACAAACATACAAATAAAACAAGTAAGGACATTATAAACTAAAAACTCAACGAAATGAATCTCAATAAAACAGTAAATAAAAAATTAATTGTTAAAAAAGTGCATTTTTGGCCAGCCTTCCTTGGAGAGGCGTGCTTGGCCAAGAGATGGCGCTCCACAAATAAAGGGGTTAACCAACTTAAAAATGTTCAGATCACTACAACTACTCACGGGCACGGGAGTCCGAAGCTGCCTCATCTCATCTCATCTCATCTGCCCCTTGGCGGTTGCCGTTGGGGCGCTACAGATGACCTGTCAACCAGTCCTCTCCATCTCTCCCTCTCCTTCGCACGTTTGACCGCCTCGCTCAGCTTCAATCCTGTCCATTCTGTGATGTCTTCCCATCTCTTCTATCTTTCTCTCTTTCTTCATCCTCTGACTCTTGATGGTAGTGAGATCTTCATAGGGACCAATGCCTTGCCTCATTCTGTTTTTGACTTCCTCATTGATTATGTGGTCTTTGTAAGAGATGCCAAGCAGTCATAATTCTTTCAAGGAAAACAATGAAGAGTGTCGGCGAGAGCAAGCATCCTTGTCTCACTCTAACTGTGGTTTGGAGTCTTCAATGTCCCCGTTGAGGTAAACTACACTGCTGGTCTTGTACTGGTTCTGTATGATGCGGATGATGTTAGGGTTGATGTTGTAGTAGTTCATGGTAGCCCATACTACCGCACGCCACACTCTGTCAAATGCCTTCTTGAAGTCTAAGGATATGTGGTAGAGTTCTTGTTGGTGTTGAAGGTAATTCTCGCACAGAATCCTGAGCTTGAAGATCTGCTCAGTTGTGCTGCGCCCTGCCCTGAATTCTGCCTGCTCTTCACCTATAATTGCTTCAGTCTGGGGTCTTAACCTGTTCAATATGATCCTGAGCATCACTTTGCTAGGATGGCATATCAAGGCTGATGGTGCGGTAGTTGTTGCACTGTTGTAGGTTGCCTTTCTTGGGTAGGGTGATCACTAAAGACTGGGTCCATGGTGTTGGCCACTCCCCTGTCTCCCAGATCTTCTGGCAGATTGCATGTAGCACATCGATCATGGCCTCACCACCTGCTTGCACTAGTTCTCCTGGGATGTTACAAATACATGCTGATTTTCCTTTCTTCAGGGACTTCACTGCTTCCTCCACTTCTCTGAGGATGGGGAAACTGTTTGTCTGTTGTCAGGGGGGTGTTGAGCTTCTCTGTGTTTCCTGTTCCGCGGTATGAGTATAGATCTGCGGTGTACTCTGTTCACCTGTTCAAGATGTCTTTGGACTAGGTCAGACACTTCCCATTTTTGTCGAGAATGGTTCTGGGCCGTCCTTGCTTGCTGCTGGTGAGGTCCTTCACTTCTTGGTAGGCCTTCTTGGCGTTTGCTTGGAGGTTCTGTTCAATGACATTGCACATATCAGTAAACCAGTCTTCCTTTGCCTTGAGCATGCTCATCTTGACCTGTTTGTCAGCTTTCCTGTACTTCTCCACTCCCTCCTCACTTTCATACTTGAACTGCTTCAGGTCTCTCCTTTCGTCACAGCTTGAGTAAGTCTGATGTGACCCAAGGCTTCTTTGTGGTCCGATTCTTGCCGATAACTTCATTGACCGAATGTGTCGATGAAAGCGAATTTCCCTCCAATCTTGGCCTCGAAGACTTGTGCCACATCAGGGTCCTCCAATTTCTTCAGATCAAGCTTAATTCTGGTGTGGCCCTGTTTCTTCTTCATCTTCTTGAGGTGTAGGCGGAAGGACATCATGACGAGCTCATGGTCGCTGCTGATGTCCGCTCCGATTACTGAACATAAAGCAAAAAACGTAAAGCAGTAAAACATCACAGAACATAAAACAAATGTTAAACCAATAATCGTGACACAGTAACTAAAACCTATTGAAAAAAAAAAAAATAATAAAAATTGACAAAGCTAAGGGAAAATGGACTCTGGAATAGTCAAACAAACGCAGCTGCCACCATTATTTGGGTTGTAGTGATTTTTGAAATTTTAAGATCTGATCCATACAAAAAAAAAATAATCAAATAAAAAAAATAAATGGCAGGTTTGTGGTAGGCTGGAAAAAACACTTATCTTTTCGTTCTATTTTAAAACATGTTAATTCCCAACGATAAAAATAAGAACAAACAAGTTTAAACGATAAAAATAAGAACAAATAAAAGTTCAAAAATACGATAAACGGAAGGTTAAAATCATGAACTAAAACAAATAGAAATACGGACAAACATACAAATAAAACAATTAAGGACATTAAAAACTAACAACTAAACCAAATGAAACTCAATAAAAAAGTATATAAAACGTTAATTGTTAAAAAAGTGCATTTTTGGCCAGCCTTCCTTGGAGAGGCGTGCTGGCCAAGAGATAGCGCTCCACAAATAAAGGGGTTAACCCACTTAAAAATGTTCAGATCACTATAGTGGTGATGGCGATAGTGATGGTGATAATGACTGTGGTGGTGATAGTAATGGTGGTGGTGGTGATAGTGGTGGTGGTGGTGATAGTAGTGGTGGTGGTGGTGATAGTGGTGGTGATAGTGGTGGTGGTGATAGTGGTGTTGGTGGTGGTGATAGTGGTGTTGGTGGTGGTGATAGTGGTGGTGATGGTGGTGGTGGTGGTAGTGATAGATAGTGATAGTGATAGTGGTGGTGGTGATAGTGGTGTTGGTGGTGGTGATAATGGTGGTAATGGTGGTGGTGGTGGTAGTGATAGATAGTGATAGTGATAGTGGTGGTGGTGATAGTGATGGTAGTGGTGGTGGTAGTGATGGTAGTGGTGGTGGTGGTGGTGGTGGTAGTGATGGTGGTGGTGGTGGTAGTGATGGTGGTGGTGGTGGTGGTGGTGGTAGTGATAGTGGTGGTGGTGGTGGTAGTGATAGTGGTGGTGGTGGTAGTGATAGTAGTGGTGGTGGTGGTGGTGTTGGTGGTGATGGTGGTGACGATGATGATGATGATGGTGGTGATGATGGTTATGGTGGTGATGGAGTGCACTCACCTGGGGTTCCTCCTCCACAGCATCAAAACCATGTTGATGAAATTAAACCTTTTTCTTCAAACTCGGGAAGTGGGGGTAAGGTAACATCCACAGGAACAGGGTCAAACTTTAGCTCAGGAAAACATGGACCTCGTCTTCACTGAACCCAAAGTCCACTTGGCCTTGCTGTAAGTCAAAGCCATCTTCTTCAAAGTCAAAATCGGGGTTGACGACCTCTCCTATGTCAGGTGGGTTGGACACAGGCGGCGGCGGCGGCGGGGGCGGCAGCATCCCACGGACTGGACACAGGTGAGGCGGCAGCAGCATCCCACGGACTGGACACAGGTGAGGCGGCAGCAGCAGCCCACGGACTGGACATAGGTGAGGCGGAAACAGCATCCGAAAGACTGGACACAGGTGAGGCGGAAACAGCATCCGACGGATAGAGCATAAAACACAATGAAACAAACGGATTACAGAGTATAAAGCAATAAAAGGTAAAACATAAAACGAATAGATTACAGAACAGAAAACACAATACAACAAAAATGAATCACAGAACATAAAACAAAAGTTAAACCAATAATCGTGGCACAGTAACTAACCGATTGCAAATAAGAAAAAGAAAAATAGACACAAGCTAAAGAAAAAAATGGACTCTGGAACAGTCAAACGTACAAAAAACCTGCAATCCACTCATCAGCTGCCACCATTATTTGGGTTGCAGTGATTTTTGAAATTTCAAGATCTGATCCATACTAAAAAACAATAATCATCATCATCATAATAAAATAAATAAATGGCAGGTTTGTGGTACCAAAACAAATAAACCGAAATATAAATCGTAAACACAATATAAAAGCTATGAAAAAATAGAAATTAAAACAACTAAAATAAAATCTAAAAAAAAACGAAACGTAAAACAAGAATACAAAAAAGAAACTGATACAACATAAAATAATAACATTAAAACGAAACATAAAATAAGACTACAAAATAAAATAAAACTAAGACGGTCCAGCAAAATAAATTCAAAGGCTCATATAAACATTGCATTTTCTTCTTAATATATTATTGCCTTTGGTTTCTGTGCCCATAAACATTCACTCTACATAACTTTCGGTTCGGTGGGTCTTGCAGCTCGAAAAGAAAAGGGCGATCCCAGAGTCCCAGCGTTACCCTATGGCCTACTCGATTAATCTGCCCGCCACACAAAAGTCGAGAGCGGTCGAAAAAAAACATGGCGGACGCTTTTCTTTTGGTTCTATTTTAAAATACGTTAATTCGCAACGATACCCTGGTAGAATTTATTTTGCTGGTTACAATAACGAAACTGTACAATCAATATATAAACGAAAGGTTAAAATCATGAACTAAAACATAGACAGAAATACGGACATACAAATAAAACAATTAAGGACATTAAAAACTAACAATCCTCCAAATGATCTAAGCATGGCAATTCATTAGGGTTATCTTCAGAAGGG